CTTCTCCTCTTCATACCACTTTTTACCACAACCCTCACAAGTTGTCACATTGAACGAGGCATCCCGCCCATTTCGCGCCAAACGTCTGTCACTTGACAGACAGCCAAAACAAGTACACTCAAGCCTCGTCTTCCCGTCTGATCCACCCACGGCTCCCTTCACTACACACACACGCACCTTCACGCGAAATAAGTCAACACAAAAGGATTATCTCACGAAATTCATCTGTATTGACTGGACCGGCCTAGCCTCTTTGAGGCGGCATCGTACCTTCATGACAAGCCGTTAACGTCAGGCTTCCAGACGTCGAGCGCGAGCTTTCTATAAATCCACTCAACGCTGTGTCCATTCAGCACAATTTAACTATGTTCTTGCTGTTTGCCCCCGAGTCGGCAGAAGTGCCAAAACAGTCATGCACTGTTGTTGTGTGCCCTCCAGAAAGAACCTGGGATAAGTTGGATCGACGTTGTCTAGGCGAAGGTCCGACTTGCTGTAGAAATGCCCCGGACAGTTTCCTGGCCTCTAGCCGTTCATTTGGACCTGGATCTGTATCAAAACCGTTACTCACTGCGTCATTCCCTTATCGGGGTCTTATGGGAGGAACTCTCTCATCCCCTTTTTTTTCACTATGATATGCAGACAAACCGCGCTACAAAGCGTAGGGACAATAGGACGCCTTGGCTGATTCATACGATGATACGCCACTCGTCACCAAAGAATTCACACCCCTCCTACACATGCCCATCTAAAGAGAGGGCATATTAGCTACTTTTACATCTGCCATTTGTTACGGATTAGTCATTTACTTGGAATTGCCCCGTAATCTTCCTGATCGTTTATATTTTAACTCCATTTTTGGATGTCTTTTGGTCGGCATTTGGGTAGTTTTTGGGGCCAGGAGACGAGGTTTCTCTTAGATTTCTCCAAATTTATCTAATGCCTAATTGACTCGCTGATCACATGTTATTTCTTATTTGATGTTTTGTACTGATCGCGATTCCGCTTTTTGTAGCTGCGGCACAGATTGTCTTCTGTATTCGACCGTAGTTTGCCTCCTCCGAATGAGGTGTAATGTTTTGAGATATTTTTAAAAAAGTGTGAAATTTTGCGAGCTTAAATGTCAGTAATATCATGACAGCGGTCTGTGTTGAAAAGTGATGTGAAATTGATGGTGGTCACTTTATAATTGTTTTTTCTTGCAGTTTTAAATCGGTATTTGCGCTTACGTAACCCTCTGTTTTTGACGGATTAAGGCTGCTTGAATTTATCCTCATTCACTTCCTCCAAAGTTCATCTTAAAACGAGGAATATTCGGTCCTCAGGGATTTATCCAATTTTTTCGGACTGCACATTTTGTTTTCCTACCACAGCTCTTAAAAATGATCACTTTGCTGAAGGAATATTATAGATATATTTTTCGTTTACAAGTATATCACTAGATCATAAATATGAGATGTATTTATCCGCTTTCGTAATGAAGGACTAGTAGTTTAATTTTCCCACATTTGAAGCGTAAAGCCTACTCGTATGATTGTAGAAAAAGTCAACTACCAGTCCTTGTCTGTAGCACGATAGGGTATAGATATAAACATGAGTTGACCTCGTCTTCGCAACTTGGTCTTGTTGTCAGGGCGACGTGGTTGGACGCACCTCATCCGAAGTCCTCTGTCATAGTAGCTATCATAATTCCCAGCATCAGACCGTTGACTTGGAACATGATGATCACTGCGCCACCTTTATCTGCCTTTAAAACAAACAGATCATTTTATTTGTTGAGAATAACTATCCTCTTGGCTTGATTAATAAAGAATAGCTTTTTGAATGGTGAATACGTAAGGAGAGATAAGGAGACCTTTTCTCATGTT